CACCCGCCACAGATCCCGTACATTTCAGCTTGTTAAAGACATTGAACGAACAGGTAGTCAAAAAGTTGAAAACGTTCAGTGGTCGCAATCAGAATGTGGTAACTTGGTTAGATGAATTGGAAATACAGTTTAGTGCTCATGGTTGGAGCGAGGAGGTCAGATTGAAATGTATACCGACCGTCCTGCTGGATCATGCACTTAAATGGTATACCCGAGCTGCTACTACTATAAACTCATGGAAAGATTTCGTTACACAAATTAAAGATGAATTTGGTTCAAAATTTAGTCAACAAATAGCATTTGAACGAATGATAAATTATCAACAAGGAATTAATCAGTCTGTTTACGATTTCTATTGGGGAATGCTAGATATTAGTCGTGAAATTGATCCACAACCAACAGCTCATAATATTTTGCAACACCTGATTTCAAATGTAAAGCCTTCTCTGAAAGTAAAGATTATGGAAAAAGATCCAAAAACTTGTGCTGACTTCTTGTATCATGCTAAATTTTTCGAACAAGTGGCGCCATTTAAACTACAGGAAGAGGCTCAAGCTATCTATGCGCCATCCCAGCGACGATGGCCAACACAACAACGACCACAACAGCAGATAAATTCAGATAGTGTTCAGAGTAATCCACCACCAGCCGCTCCACAACAGGCAGTTGCTTCTCAACCTGCCGCTCCAGTATCCAATGCACACAAACCATCAAGTAAAGGACAGGTATTTGAAAATTCCAATAATCGTGGCCCGTATTCAAACTATTCTGGTTGTCATATTTGTGGGTCAACACTTGAACACTATGCCCGAAACTGTCGTGAACGACAGGGTTTCGAGCAGTGGAGTCATTGATTGATGGTGATGGCTCCGCAGATTTTTGTAACCCATCATTAATTTTCCTTTCCGCTCAAGTCAATAATCGTAAGATGAAAATAATGCTAGACACCGGAGCCACAAACACAATTATCACAGAAGAAGCCTTGAATAGAACAAGACATCAGAGGTTCATCAGCAACCCCCATAAGCACAAGTTAGCAATGGCTGATGGCTCTTCTTATCTTAAAGTAGTTGGTACAGTTGAACTGAGTATAAAAGTTCACAATATGTATACAAAAATCACTGCAGTAGTAGTGAAAACTTTGTTCACAGATTGTATTATTGGGACCGACTATATAAAGAAGTATTCTTTACACATTGATGCTGGCAGTGAAACTATAACTATTCATAAAGGCCATATGTATGTGTCTATATCGATGGAAAAACCTGGTATATCGTATATTAATTATTATCACCTATTGGTATATCGTATATTAAGGAATTATACTAGTATCCGTTTCAAAATACAATGCCACTGACTATTTTTTGAATATCTCGAGGATGGAATGTGATAGAGAGTTCAAATTTTCACCATTCAAAAGAAGAGACTTTGAGGCACATTCTTAAGACAGATGTTAATTCGAAAATATTATTTTAAAGTAGGTTTTCGCAGAGATCTTTTGAAAACGAACTTATAGCTCAAACACTTCAAGTGCAAATACTTTCGATTTTCTTCATGAACAGATAACCCAAAGTGTCCTTTGTGAAAATGGGGGTCAACTGTGACCTTGATTTTCAGTGGTTCGAGCGTGGTATCCGATTTCCTTGGAACTAAAGGACTGGTATCCACTGGCTTTACACAATCTTGAGATCGAATGGAACATAATCGACCATACTGGATCTTAAGCCAACTTTTATCTTGCGAAAAGAGATCAAAAACAGGGTGAAAACCGAGTTTTATCAAAATTGAGGTTTTCAGGCTCTCTTCATTTAATATTAAAAAATTCGCAATTCACTCGAAAAACATCAGAACGAGTTGAAAACTTCAGAATGTACAGTATTTACGCTATTCTATATCCCAGCTATAACAAATCCACAAAACCTAATTTGCAAAATCCTATGGTCCTTTCCGAAATGCTCTCAGAAAACTTTTGATTGAAAACATGCGTTTTTAATTTTTTCGAGCGTATAATCATGTTCAATGAACACAGCTGACTATATCCTGAAGTTTCCAACTCATTCTGATGTTTTCCGAGTGAATTGTGAATTTTTTAATATTAAGTGAAGAGAGTCTGATAACCTCAATTTTGTGCCTGAAACAAAAATGTGCCTCAAGGTCTCTTCTTTTGAATGGTGAAAATCCGAATTCTCTATCACATCAAAGCAATTGGAAAGCTTTCGATCACCGTGAAAAATACTACGATCGACTCAGTTTTCGATCCTTATTCCGAATCTGCGTTTGTTTTCTGACTACAAGTTAACGACGGGTAAAAGATTGCTCAATATCGATGGAGGAAGACGGCGGTATCAGTAAGGATGATGTGTCGTGATAAAGAAGAGAAAGAAAGCGATGCACACTGTTTTGACTGTCGATGTAATGAGTCGAACGAGATGAAATATTTGCCTTCCTTTCTTTGCCAACAAACATCATGTTGGTTTCAAATACGAGTGCGGTTGGCTTCTAGTTGAATAACTCGGCATCGGAAAGCGATAGAGCCCTCATATTCCTATTAGAGAGAGGACAACGAGGCACCTCTATCCGGATTAAATATGATTAGTCAAACGATTGACTAGTCAGATGAATTTTCACCCGAGATTTTTAAAATGACTCATCTTGACCAAGAAAAGACATAAGCGATGCTCATTTTTTTCGGTTATTCGTACATCGATATTGAAGGACCCCGGATCCATCAAACTTTTCGAAATTTTTTAGCTGTTCTGGTGGAACAACATGCCTTTCTCACACCATCGCAGACATTTGAAAACCTCATTCTTCTAGTTTTTGGATACGCTCGATACGCTATTTCGTTCCCATAGGCTAGGAACCAGTTTTTCTTGATCATCTACTTGCGCTGGATTGTACTGTACGTAGAACAGGAAAGAAGGTTTCCGTGGAACTTTGAATTGTCT